AATTTCCAAAGTGACCACCAAACGTGAGTTAGTCACATAAACAGACTATTACACAGATAAGTAGAATGCTGCAATACCTGCAGATTTAACTGTAATACTTTGTTTATGTGACTGCCTGACGTTTGGCGGTCACTTTAGGAATTGTCCGGCTCTTGTACACGTGGGCTGGTCTTCGGACCATGCTCAGGCCCATTTGCCCTGTCGTCTTCAGTATACATGTATCCAGCTACACTTACTGTCGTTAGTCAGGAGGTCTCGGGACGCTACAGTAGGAACTGCCTGCCTGCCCTCAAACCTCAGGAGAGGGTTGGTTGAGGCACCATGTGCAGAAAAAAGGAAATGGGGCGAGTTGATGAGACGTAAAGGGGTCGTCATTCTGAGACTAACCTACCAAGTTCCTCACGAACTGGATTCGTATTTGAATTACTTTCCCGCCTCTCTCCTATAAATGTAAACTTAAGCACATTGGTATATAATCATAGCGACATGCTAGAAATAGTCTAGGAATTTTTCGTGGCTGCAAGTCAGCATTTACAGTAAATAGAGTGACAATAAACAACTATTAATTACTTCAGATTTACTTGAGACCATAGCAGTTTTCCTTGACTTCGCGAAAATAGACAAAGAGGGACAATTGCCGTAAAATTTTATAAAGGTATAATTAAATCAATTTTGGTTATAAAAGTCGCGTGTTACATTCACTCAAGTAATGTCATTACTCATAATTTAATTTATGATAGCAAATATAACAGTATGGCGCTATAATAGCTTTGCAATTTAAAGTAGAATTTTATGAGGTTGTTTATGCTGACTAGTTTGAAACCGCTTGAAGAGATACACAGACTTTCTTTGGGGCACTAGCGCTTCTGATGCACGAAAAGGAGAAGCGTGAGGATGAAAGCAAAAAAAGAAAACGGCGATCAAGAAGTCGTTCGAAAGATCGACATACATATAAGGAGCCTAAGAAGCCCAAAGTCAAAAGACGAAAGGTAGATGATGAGGGTATGTTTATATCGTTAATGGACGTCAAAGAAGGTGAAGTAGGAGATCCTGGAACCGCTGAATCCCTTTCGATCGATGAGACAAAGTAGTTTTCTGCCGTTTTTATTTGTCGTGTAGTAAGCTTCGGGCAAAATTGGGCCTTGCACCTCTTGACTTGGGTAGTGACTCAAAAGCCGGTTCTGATGAGTTCAAATCGAGGAATAGCGATGCAGATTTTGTACATGCGCCAGCAAAAGACATAACCAAAGAACGGCAGACTGAAAAATTGCAAGAAAAGATTGCCACTGCAAAGGAGAAACGGGAGTTGCTGAACAAGCTAAGAGAAGTCAAATCATTAGGTTCTGGTGAAGAGACCAATGTGTCCTCTTGGGTTGAAAAAATGAGATCTAAGGAGAAAGCGAAAATTGAGGCTGAAAAGAGGGTATGTGGAGGATTCTCGTACTAATGCTTCTTAGGAAAAAATGCTAATTGAAATGGATGAAGCATTCGGCGTTTCAGCCGTTGTTGCGGAACGAATCAGACCGAAACGGCTTAAAGTAGTGTCACCGCTTAGTTATATTTTTTCTAGCCTGAATATTCATCAGCATCGCTTGAAGGGCTCAAAGTTGAGCATAGTGTTGACCGTTTTTCTGAAGCCAATCCCATCATTCTAACTCTTAAGGATAAAGGTACACATTTTATTCACTGGATTTGGATCTTCCTATCACTTGTTATTGCCATTACTTATTTTAAGTGCACCTCGGATTATGAACTTAATTTTGGCCCTTCGTCTTCGTAGCCTGCCCATCATAACAAAGTTTTGCGC